CGAATAAAATCACAAATAAAATTGCCCCTAATGTATTTTTTATGAGTTCTCGATTATATTAGTGTTAACTATGTAATCAGCATTCTAATGCAAAACACATTCATTTCTCAATTTTTTCAAAATTGAATGCCCCACATTTCTTAGGACATCGCCCTGGGGAAAAAATACATTTTCGAATGTGAAAAGGGTTGTTTTACTGATTATTTTTTCGATTACTATACATTACATTTTCTCACTGGGTGATGTTGTGTTGCATTTGATCAGGCTGGTGCATATGCTGCAGAACTATTTGTACCAAGTGGATGGGCTGTGTCCGGGTGGTGGGTTCATTGGTTGATTGTTGCAACAAAAGTGGTCGGTCCACTCTATATAGTGACGGAGCCCGGAGCAAATTGGACATTTCATTTGTAGGCACAGAAGCAATACATTGTACAATGAACATACATACATACAAAATCCCCATTCGGTAAATTTCTCAACTACTGTTTTTCTAAATTACCCAATTTTACACCAATTCCGCTTACATACACCCCTGGAAGTGCTCCAAATCGCTAAGCTACTAATTTTGAACGCTTTTCCTTTTCCCATTCCACGGCGCTAATGCGTAATTTTGAACATAATTACATATATTCATATGCACATACTACGTATCTACAGTTTCTGTAGGTCTCCACGGCGAGGCTTTTACTTCAAATTAAAGCATAACAACACTATAATAGAAATTATTTATAATGTAATTAACAAATTTTAGTTTTTGTCTACACATTCGCCTATTTGCGACGTCTACATTAGATGTATGTACATACATACATATGTATTTATATATGTATTTAAATGTGAATATGTTGAACTTGGTTATTGCAACAATGTTGTTGAAGATATAATTATGAAATTTTTATTCAATGGAAGTAAAAACAAAAAGAAATAATAAAGAGTTAGTTCCGTGCACTGAACGAACGTCACCTCACTCACTGTTTTCATACATATTTATATTTTTTGCCTACTCTATTTTTAAGTAAATGTAACGTTTTAACCGGCAAAACTATTTGTCTGTTGGTGCACGCATACGTCGCTTCCTAGTTCCTCTTTTTGACTAAAGGGAAATGTATAGTTATTTGTTGCCGCAATACAATACACTACAGAAAAATAATTTTTAACCAGATAACCTGATAACCAGGCAAGTGTAAACAACCTCAGTATCTTAGAATTTGGTTGAATAATGCCCTATCTCATGACTTCGGTTTAAAAACGCCCTATCTCAAATGAAAGTGTATTGAAAATTTGCTGATTTATTATTCCTGATGAAGCCGAGGAGATGTGCGACACTTGCCAGGAAAGCAATTAG